TTTAGACCTCGTTTAGACCTGGTTTAGTCCTGGTGTAGTCCTGGTTTAGACCTCGTTTAGACCTGGTTTAGTCCTGGTGTAGTCCTGGTTTAGTCCTGACCCGTGTAATCACTACCCTCCTGCATACCTGCCCGCAAAATAAACATTAAAACCCGCCCGTTTCAGCAACTATTTGCGGGTACCTGACCCGGTGCAGGACTCTATCCCATGGTCGTAGAAATCCTGGAAAAATCATGGAAATTAAAAATGCAATGTTCCAGGCCTGGAAAAGTCATGAAATTTTAGTATCTCTTTCTTTCTCATTAGACAATTATGATTATTTCCAAACGTCGGTGCCTTCTGTTTAAAAGAGACGACAATAAATGCACTGACAAGATTTTGAATATTAAAAAACTATAAATCCCAAACCATAAGGTGAGTGGAAAGAGTTAACATCTCATATTTAGCTCTAAAAATCTGATTAATTTTACAAATGTAGGTGCCATAAAGTCATGGAAAATTCACTTTAGGTCATGAAAATGTCATGGAAAAATTTAGAAATTTGAGTGTGGGAACCTTGGTACAAGCCTCCGCCCACAAACCTACATCGCCTACGCTCCCACGCGACAATTCTCCATAAATACACAAAGACATGACACTAAACTGTGCACGGCGACTTGACAAACCTGATGCACTAGTTTCGTTGGCAGGATTCACGCGGATGTTGTTGTGACGGTGCTCTGAAGGGGGAGTGTCAAAAACGAAACTGAAACTTGTAAAACGCCTTAATACGATGTTTTTAGGAATATAGCATTTTCAAAACAAGCAAACGTAACATGGTGGGTGATCTAAATAAGCCTTTTTAAAGTACAAACATGTGTATTATTTCCTCAGTGTTGTCCAGTGAGCAGAAGTACACTCCAAAAACTAACTCCGACAGTCTGACAAGTGTGGCCTTTATCTCTGTGGTTCCGTATGTATGTATAATTAAACTAGTAATATTTCTATTGTCCATTGTTTACCCAGACTGACTCAAAGTAACTCTAATCATAACTGTGTGGGGGGAAAAGCCCGCAGGAAGAGTCGGGACATTAGTGTTTTTCCATATGTTGTGATGCATTAACGATGGCTGCTGTCGAGTGTGAGTGCTCCACAGCGGTTTACCCAGGGGCAGGTCCAGGTGCGGCTCAGATGAGACGGCTTAAAAACGACGCTGCACGCTGATCCGCACAGGAAGTCGCACCACGTTTTGAATTTTTTCCCCATTAAAGTTTACGGGAAACAAAGGAGCATAATATATTGTAGACGTCAGCTACAGTCCTCTTTCTCCTTTTCCAAAAATAAAAAAGTCATTGTACATGAATTAAAAAAATTATCAACTTGAAAAAAAATAAAGCTTGGTAATAATAAAAAAAAACTAAAAATACATATTCATAAATAAAAATACTTTGGTTTCATAAGGTCAGGTTTAAACGGGGCAAGAAATACAAAAATTTTTCCAATGATTGTCAAATTTGTCAAAGTCAAGTCTCATAAAATGTCAGTTTTCATCCAATTTACACAAAACAAAGAGGCGTGCGAGTGGGAATTTAAAGGGCACATGACAGGTTTTTGGGATTCTCTAGTGTTTATTTAATCTGGCAGAAGTGGCAGAATAAATAACTGCTGTAAATATAAATGATTGATAGTTTTACACCAGTTAAAATGCAATAGACTCTGTTCACGCTTACAGACCGTGAGAACTTTGACGATACGAAATCACGGTACGATATTTTGGTTATTGTTACATCCCTAATTGATACAGCAGCCCACGATATCGATACTGTGTCATCTAATTAAACGATACGATAAGTAAATACAGCTAAAATGTAGGTTTTTGTTGTAATATAGCGAGTTAATGGGTTTAGTAACCGGTAGAAAATGTTATATTAAAGATTTGTGAATAAACTTTTTGGATATTTCATGACCAAGTACAATACATCTGAGAGTATGAATCTGAAAACCATCAATGTTTTCTTTTTTTTTTTTCTTTTTTTATTTGTCAAATCATAATTTCTGTGTAAATTTATAGAGATTTGGCCAAGATTCCCAATCACAAAGTACAAATTTAAACTTAAAGAAATGGCTAAACTGTGAAAAAAGTTGTGTAAAATCTTATCTTTAATACGTGCATCCCGAATTTCGGACTTCCGGTCATCGCGCAATGCTTACTGAGAAGGATCCTCCGAAAAAGTGAGTATCAAACCGCCTGTTTTGTTTTCCCAGTGGGATGCGTCTATTATCAAAGTCGATCTTTTCAAGTCTTTTGAACCATATCACTTTTGTTTCTGGTTCTGATATTGTCATGTTTTAGTTTTGGGATACGGACATCGTAATTGTGTGGTTGTTGGATCCTAACAGCGGAAAACGGACTTCGGAAGTTTGCGAACTCCATAAATGCAAAAGGGAATCAGATGTGTGTGACTCAAACCTCCGTTCAAACTGTTTCCCTTTGGAATTTAATTTGAAAATAGTGAAAGGTGAAGGCGATGGGCAGGATTGATCCACAAGAAGGACCAAAAGGAAACTTCTGGCTGCCTAAGAAATCATCCCGAGTTTGTAGCGAACATTTTGTATGTGGAGGGACAACAAAGCAAAATCCTGTTTGTTAATGTAGAGGTGCAGAAGACAAACAGACTGAGCTGCACTTTCTTGTTCTTGTGGTTTTACAGCAACATCACGTCTTGGTCTCTTTGCAGTGGAAGGTGTTTCTTGGTGAACAGTTGGTGCCTTTCACTTTGGCGTTGACTTTTTAAATTCGTAACCGAGGTTGAGCGAGGGATCGGGATTTTGCTTTGATGGCTCCACATACAAAATGTTCGCTGTAAACTCGGGATGATTTCTTTTTGGTTCTTCCTGTGGATCAATCGTGCCCATCGCCTTTGCCTTTCACTATTTTTCAATTCCGTAGGGAAGGGAAACAGTTTGAACGGAGGTTTGAGTTAGAGCCCGACCGATATATCGGCTGGCCGATATTATCGGCTAATATGGGCACCTGGAGACATATCGGCTATCGGCCGATATGCTTGCTGATATGGGCCGATATTTCACGTGGGCATGTTATACCTCGTTATAAAGCTTAGACTCTCTACATTATGTTCATTTAATCCAATTTACAGACAGATAAATGTCCTAATATGTGGCTCCACATCAGTATTTATCTGCGGTGTAATTTGTCTGTGTCCGTACTGTCCCTGAACACACCACAGAGTCACGTCACTTCACTCGCGTGTGCTTTTGTTTACACCCGCAGCCGTGCGCAACACTGAGATTATTTTCTTTTTCGGACAATCGGTTTGAGTCTGGATTAAAAGGACATTTATTAGTTCAGACTTGTGATGTGGGAGGAGCCTGTGTGAGCGGTGAGTGTTGGAAATACATCGACTTTGAAGCTAGTTTAGGTTTTGTTAGCGGTTAGCTGCTGTAGCTCCACACATAAACAGGCTGTTTTCTATTGGTCTATTGTAAAGTGACTATATTGGCCGTATATTTGTTACTGGACCAGCATTGATATGTAAATGAGCTGTGAATAGACGTGTGAATGATCCACATTTATGCATATAATTAACTTACCGCTTTGCGCAGCATTTATGGCTAAAGGCTAATAGCGATAGTTTACTAGCTAGGAGTTATGGGTCGGTCGCGATCGAAGCGGCTCTTAGATCGAACAAGCGGGAGCATGTTTCTTATTGGGAGCCGTGTTTTCTCTTTTTCTCACTTTTTCTCTTCATGCCGCATGTCGACCCGTAGTTTGACAGCAGCAGCGGCTGAAAACGAAACTTTCAGAAATCTGCGTGTGCATAAGATAAAAAAAAGTGCATATTTGGCTGCAGTTCAGCATAAAATGAATAAATCAGGACTAATCTTGGGCTCGAGTGCAGGAGAGAGATAGAAACCGAGTCCCGACACTCAGTCCTGGTTCAGTTCTGGTTTAGTCCTGCTTGCAACAAAACAATCTCAAGAGTCGCTTGGGAGCCGAAAGAGCCAGCTGCTTTAGTGAGCCGAGCCAAAAGAGCCGGTTCTCCAAAAAAACAAAAACAAAAAAAAAAACTGGAATACCCATCACTAGTAGCTAGAATGTGATGCAAAAATGCCATTAGGCCAATTTACTGTCTGTAAATATGATGTAAAGAGTCAAAATAACAATAAATGTTGCCTAAATAAACCCAATTTAGAATCTACTAGAGCCAAACCTAAGTTTTTTTAATCAATTCAAGATTTACAGTGAATTTTTACATCACTAAATATATCGGTGATTATATCGGCTATCGGCAGCTCCAACTCCCATTATATCAGTTTCATATCGGCCACAACAAAATCCATATCGGTCGGGCTCTAGTTTGAGTCACACACATCTGATTCACTTTTGCGTTTATGGAGTTCGTAAACTTCCAAAGCCCATTTCTCGAATGTCCTAACAGCGGAAAACAGCTCAACAACCACACAGTTACGATGTCCGAATCCCAAAACTAAAATATGACAATATCAGAACCAGAAACAAAAGTGATGTGGTTCGAAAGACTTGAAAAGATCGACTTTGACAATAGACACATCCCACTGGGAAATCAAACTCACTTTTTCGGAGAATCCTTCCCAGTATGCAATGTGCGATGACCGGAAGTCCGAAATTCAGGATGCATGTTATTCTCGTAAATGCATTTGAGTAAAATGAGTCGTCCAACCTGTCATGGGCTCTTTAAGTGTTCAGTCACGCTTGGGTTTTGGAAGTGCAAATACGTCCAAATAAATAAACAAAAGTGTCTGACAGTACTTCCTCAAAGCTAAATTAAAATAAAACCGTCTACCTTTAAAGCTCGACTTCCTGTGTGTGACGAGTGCACGCGTGTGTGTATGTGTGTAAAACGTGTGCGACGTCATGTGGACCGTCACCTGGCTGCCCTCACTGCGAAGCCCAATACTGTTTCTCATCTTGTGTTGTCACAACCCCCTGCTACCTTGATTCACTCTTGGTCGTTGGCTAGGTTTTGGATTTATTACTTTCGAGGCCGAACAATCAGTGGACCAGGCTGTCAACATGCATTTTCACGACATCATGGGCAAAAAAGTGTGTAGTTGTAGTTTTATTTTACCCTTCGAAATGAACAAAGGCTTGAGCGACCAGCAGTTTTCCGACCATCTGTCACTGTTTGTCAAAATAAAATTGCCGTATTGCTCTTGCTTTAGTGTTTTTAGAGCATTTATGTAACACTTGTGTATAGAAATATCGTGTATTTTTTAAGTCGCTCAAGGCTTTGTTTGAATTGACCTCTCCTTTAGGGCGTTATTCGGCTTTTAAAATAAAAATAAACCAAAAAATATGAGCGATGAAGTAACTATAATAAGTCAATTCAAGAAAATGTGCGATGTTTTTCAAACTTTAATCACCTACAGGACTGGTCAAAACACTTTCTTTTTTTTGTGTTTTCTAATGTTCAGTTGGCAGGTCACTTACACGTCAACATTTTTTCTTTACGTTTAAAAAAAAAAAAATACCAGTGACCTCATTTTGAGAATCTCCATACTGTGTCTGCCCGATCACGATCCAAAGTGACTTTACGGCGCGGCTGCTGCCGACGAGAAAAAAAAGCGAGCGCCTCCACTCCACGAAAAAATATTGACAGATCTGTGTTTGTCGTCTCACAGCCCGAGCACCAGACGCACGGGCTTTATGCACACAGACTATTGAGGAAGTGTCAGGTGAGAGTCTGACACGAGCAAACAAGTTTAGTTTAGTGTCGCCAAAGTACACGCCGCGAACCGTTCGGGATTCACTTTTCGATGACCCTCCTTCTGTGTTGACTGTAGGTTTGGCTTTGCAGTGCGGGATGGGAAGGGTGGAGAGAATACGTTTGTCTAAAGGTTATTCTCTTCTGTAAAGTTCATGTGACTTGACTTGACTGTGGCGATATTTTGACTTCATAAACTCATAAAAATCCACCTTGGCGTTGTGCTGATGCGATAGAGCTGAACCATTCGTTCTTTTGAATTTCAATTAAGAACGAAAAACAATAAAATGGGAAAACTGTTCATTTTTTTGTGTCAAACATTTCAAATTACAGCAGTCACTGTGCCTATTTTAATTTTGATATTTCATTCTCGTTGGTTTATTTGCCTCGGAGGTTCTGACTATAGAGACATTATTTATTTAAAAGTTTATTATTTTATATTACACTTGATTCAATATTTAAGCAAAACTATTATTATTAAACTTTTATTTTAGTAAGAAAAGGTTTAACATTACAGATCTCGAAAGAAGAGAAAACATGTCGTTGAAATTTTTCAGTAAATATTTAACAGTTTGGCCCACGACTTAGCCCCAGTTTTTAATTTTGGCCTCTGTGAATTTGAGTTTGACACTCCTGCACTACACGGTTCGCAAAAACCCCGGAAGTGCGAGTCCGGGCACCAGTCAATAAAGGAAGAGCCAGACAGACATTCTGTGTTGGCAACGATTCCCGAGATTGAAGATATAAAGATGGAACAAAGAGAATGTTTGGTAAATTTTATCAAAGGAAAAGACGTTATCGCCCTTCTTCCTACTGAATTTGGCGCATTACATACGTCACGACCAAACAGCAGTGATTGGTTAAATAAAAAATGTTCCCGCCAAATGTCGAGTGAACGAATCCTAATGCTGCGAGATCAGACGGTTTCCACAAAGTGAAACCAGCTGATGAATCAGGCTACTGTCTGACCTCGCAGCATTAGGATTCATTTGCTCGACGGTAGGCGGGTACTTTTTTATTTAACCAATCGCTTTCATTTGGTCGTGACGTATGTAATGCGCCGCTAATGGGGCTAACTGGTATATTAAACTTTTCCCAAATCTTGTAGGAAGAAGAACAATAACGTCTTTCCTCTTGATAAAATTCACCAAACATTCTCTTTGTTCCAGCTTTAAATCCTCGATCGCGGGAAGCGTTGCCAACACAGAATGTCTGTCTTCGTCTACATCCATCTTGACGCTTTGTTTACTGTTGTGCTGTTCCACAAAAGGGACACAGACGCAATGAGTTTGACGTCATGACTTCACAGCTCACAGCTGATTGGCTGGTGCCCGAACTCGCACTTCCGGGATTCTTGTAATCCGTCTAGTGTTTTCTGATTCCTGACCTAGTCGCTGGACAGAAATTAAATTGAGCGGAGGCACTTGGTGACGCCAGCCTATTATAGTCATAAAAATTAATAATACTGATAAAAAAGGCACAGAAGTTTATCGTTTATGATCGTATCAAAATAAGCAAAAACGTTTACATTGTAGTTACCAGTCATAAAACCAGATTGGGAAACTGTAATTCCACTTATCGTCCCTGTCTTCTTTACAGAGTTTCAAAATAAAAAAAAGATTGGTTTGAGTTTTCACGACCAAACAGCAGCGATTGGTTAAATAAAAAAAAGTACCCGCCTACCGTTGAGCGAACGAATCCTAATGCTGCGAGGTCAGACAGTGTAAGTGAAACCGGCTGAGGAATCAGGCTAGTTTCTCGTCATGGAGTTCAACAATGATTTTTTTAAAAAAGACGCGAAAGTAAACGTGTCGCTGTGAAAGAAGACGACATGTTTGTCCACGAAATGAGCCCATTGTAGCTCTTTCCAGCTTTGCATCGGTCCCATTTTTTGTGACTTGTAGCTTTTCCACAAAATCTTTCGAATCCTCATTTCTGAGCACATCTTAGTTCCATTTTACTTCAATGTGGCGGAAATTTCTGCATGTGTCTTTCTGGCTCCTAACAACTCTGTGATGTATTTAGCGTGAATCTCGATGGGAACCACGGCCTATAACATCCTCTGACACGGACTGATGCATCCAAAAACTTAAAAATACACACTGGAGAGAATAAAATGTCAAAATTGAAATAGGTTTTTGATCAAAGTTTATTTCAAATAACACCAAATAAAATATTGTTTGACACTAAAACGGACTAATGAAATAACACGCTGTTTTCCCAGTTTTATTGTTTTTCGTTGAAATTAAAATTCAAAAGAACGAATGAACGATGAAATACCCCAAACTAAACCCAGTCAGACTTAGAAAACCGTGAAACCCCCGTCGTAAATGCCGTTTTTCTCGGGGGCTGTCTCCTCTCTAATGATTTGTGGGTATAAGAAAATGTCCACAGATCATATTAGGACAGATCTGGTTTCCGCTCTGTCCTTTACTGTCGCTTCCCTCTAGAACTCTGTGAATTTTGTGGAGGTCACTCTGAAATCTGACTCGTCCGCTGGCATTTTATATAGAACAGACTCCTATAAGCGCCGTATTTAACCCATCTGAAGGAAACGGACGCTCAGAGCCGATGTTATAGCAGCTCACATTTGGATTAAAGCTGAGTTTGTGTCCTTTTAAACCGTGTTATAAGCTTTAGATGTCTTCTGACTAGGGCTGGGTATCATTAAGAAGTTGCCGATACGATACAGACCTCGATACAGTGCATTTTCAATTTGACACGATTCAATACGATATATTTCAAATCGATTCAATACAGTTCAATAAAAATGATCGCTAAATCATGTCTGTGATACTAAAAGTCTTTGTTAAATCACTTCTTACACTAAGTTAATATGAAACACGCACATTTTAATCCTCAAAACAGCGAAAATGTCAAATGTGTCGCATAAACGAGTTTCGTTCCTCTAAACCACAGGTGTCAAACATGCGGCCCGGGGGCCAGATCCGGCCCTCCAAGACCTTTAATCTGGCCCTCGGCTGATTTTCTGCTAAAATATTTTAATTCTATTTTTTTTTTTTTTAATATTGTTAATTTTCTGTGGTGTTTATCACAGCAGCGTCTCCAGCGTCTCTGTACGTGGCCCCTCCCACCAGAGCAGCACAAATGAAGACTTGTCTCTTTCCAAACGCTCTTAAAGGACGATCGTTTTGACTGTTGACCGTGACACCCTCATCAGAAAAATGTCCAACATGAGAAAAGTGGAGCCGAGTGCAGGATTTTACAACAAAAATTGACTTATTCCTATTTATATATATGTTTAACATATAGTTAATGTTAAACAAGTTCATGTTAAAACATTGTGTTGAAATTGTATTTTACTTAAAGTTTCAGGTTGTTCATAATATTATAATATTTTGTAAAAGAAAGAGTTCATCAATTAAAATTTCTGTAATAGATTTGTGTTTCTCTGCACAAATATTTGAACTTATTGTTATTTTTGGGGTTTATATGACATGAGTTTTCTGATCCGGCCCCTTTGGGATCAAAGTCGGTTGGATACGGCCCCCGGACCAAAATGAGTTTGACACCTCTGGTCTAAAGAAACAACAAAACTGTAGCACTGCAACAAAATAATTGAGTAAAATATACCAAAAAATACTCTCAGCGATATATTGATACAGCAGCCCACAATATCGATGCTGTATCATCACATTAGGCGATACGATATATCGATATTTTGATATTTTTGCACACCTCTACTTCTGACAGTAGGACTGAGTAGGGTAAAGACTTCTCCATTAAAGCCACAGTATGTACGTAAGTAAATCTTTATTTATATAGCATCTTTCACAGATTAAAAAAAAAATTACAAAGTGCTTTACAGAACAAAAAACAACATAAAAACAACATAAACAAAACAGAGGAATTACAGACACAGTCACGTAACTTTTCAGCCAAAAAAAGTAATAATAATAATAAATGAAAATGGCTAAAATAAAAGCATGTTTTAGGTTTAGGTTGTTCAGGTTGTGGTAGAAAAGCATCTTCTGAATGGCCTTGCGTCATATCGTTAAGAAGTTGCCGATACGATACGGTTTTCGATACAGTGCACTTTTGATTCAATACGATTCGATACGATATATTTCAAATCAATTCGATACGTTCAATAAAATTAAAGGCTAAATTATGGCTGTGATGTTAAAAGTCAAATTTCAAATGAAACACAAACATTTAAATAACAAAACTGTCAAAATGTCAAATGTGTCGCATAAATGAGTTTCTTTCCTCTGAACAATCAACAAAACTGTAGCTCTGTTACAAAATAATTAAGTAAAATATACCAAAAAATGCAGCGCAGTGATGTGGTCGCTGTATCGAAGCAAGAGCTGAGCCAGAAGGCAAAGCTCTCGATTTACCATCAATCTTTGTTTCCTCCCCTCATCTATGGTCATGAGCTCTGGGTAATGACCGAAAGGACGAGATCGTCGATACAAGCGCTTGAAGTGAGCTTCCTTCACAGGATCGCTGGGCGCTCCCTTAAGGGCCGTTCACACCTAAGCCTCAAAAAACTCCTTGACGCCTCTATTTGGACGCCTTTGCATTTGAGTTTTGACGCCCCTGATGCGCGTCTTTGACGCCGTGGACGAACGGGACAAAAATACTTGACGCGCGTCCGTTGCCCTGTTTATGGTTCTCGTTCTGGTTCTCGGGTTTTTCTTCCTGATAATAACGTCGCTACGTCTCTGGATACTCGCCCCTGATTGGTTGACACGGCGCGTCTGAGGCGAAAAGTTCAGCATTTTCAACTTCTGACGCTGACACCTTGGACGCGCGTCTTGAGCGTCGACGTGAAAATGCTCGCGTCACACCAGATTCGCACCGCGCTAACGCCCGAAGACGCGCCGCAAAAACGCAGGACGCTCTAGTCGCGCGTCCACATCGACTTTACATAGAAACTGGCCACTTTGACGTTTTGGTGTGAACACTCCTCTAGAGACAGGGTGAGGAGCTCGGAGTAGAGCCGCTGCTCCTCCAAGTCAAGAGCAGCAGCTGAGGCTCGGGCATCTGTTCTGATGCCTCCTGGACGTGTCCCACCGGGAGGAGGCCCCAGGGAAGATGCAGGACACACTGGAGGGAGGGACTATGTCTCTGGGAACACCTCGGGGAGGAGCTGGAGGAAGTGTCTAGGGTGAGGGAAGTCTGGGAGTCCCTGCTTAGACTGATGCCCCCGCGACCCAGCCCCAGATAAGCGGAAGAAAATGGATGGATACCAAAAAATATTCTTGGTGATATATCGATACATCAGCCCACAATATCGATACTGTATCATCACGATAAACAATACGATATATCGATATTTCAATATTTTTGCACACGTCTAGTCTCCACAAACCTGACTCAGATTTGGGCTTCTTTCTGCTTGTTTCCATAGAAATGTTCTGTCTTTGGCTGTAATATCGCTCGCTGTGGCAGAAAACTGATCCAGCTCCAAATATGGAAATGTCGTTCCTTCTTTTGCATTATTGCATAAAATCTCCATGGAGAATGATTTGAAGAATGGTTTTCACGTTCTGTTTCCATGGGATCGTGCAGGTGACGTGCCTCCTCCAGAGAGTCACAGACTGTACCTTTAAAAACACAAACTCACTGATTATTTATTATTATCTTAAAGCATCATTGTGTCACTTTTCTGGTGAAGGATCTGTTAAACGCGTTTCACCATGGAGATGTTATTGCTTTGTCTGGAATGTTTCACAGTCTGGCATTAAACCTTTCTACCTTCATGGAGACTAGAGGTGTGCAAAAATATCAAAATATCGTATTGTTTAATGTGGTGATGCAGTATCGATATCGTGGGCTGCTGTATCGATATGTCACCAAGAATATTTTTTGGCTTATTTTACTAAATTATTTTGTTACAGCTACAGTTTTGTTGCTTAGTTGGAACCAGGACTGAACCAGGACTAAATCAGGACTAAATCAGGACTAAAACAAGACTAAAACAGGACTGAACTAGGACTGAACAAGGACTAAACCAGTCTCAGTCCCGGTCTGGTTCCGGTCTCAGTCCCGTTTCAGTCCCGGTCTTGTCCTGGTTTCAATCCTGGTCTGGTACCAGTCTCAGTTCAGTTATTTTTTTGTCCTGTTTTAGTCCTGTTTTAGTCCTGGTTTTAGTCCTGATTTAGTCCTGTTTTAGACCTGGTTTATACCTGGTTCAGTCCTGGTTTAGACCTGGTTTAGTCGTGATTTAGACCTGGTTCAGTCCTGGTTTAGTCCTGGTTCAATCCTGGTTCAGTTCTGGTTTTGACCTGATTTAGACCTGGTTTAGTCTCGTTTTAGTCCTGGTTTAGACTTGATTTAGTCCTAGTTCAGTTCTGGTTTAGACCTGATTCAGTTCTTTTTTAGTCCTGTTTTAGACCAGGTTCAGTCCTGGTTTAGTCCTGCTTCATTTCTGATTTAGACCTGATTTAGACCTGGTTTAGTCCTGGTTTAAACCTGGTTCAGTCCTGGTTTAGACCTGGTTTAGTCCTGGTTTAGACCTGGTTCAGTCCTGGTTTAGACCTGGTTTAGACCAAATTTAGTCCTGGTTTAGTCTCGTTTTAGTCCTGGTTTAGACCTGGTTTAGACCAAATTTAGTCCTGGTTTAGTCTCATTTTAGTCCTGGTTTAGACCTGATTTAGTCCTGGTTTAGACCTGATTCAGTCCTGGTTTAGACCTGGTTCAGTCCTGGTTTAGACCTGGTTTAGACCAAATTTAGTCCTGGTTTAATCTCGTTTTAGTCCGGGTTTAGACCTGGTTTAGACCAAATTTAGTCCTGGTTTAGTCTCGTTTTAGTCCTGGTTTAGACCTGATTTAGTCCTGGTTTAGACCTGATTTAGTCCTGGTTTAGACCTGATTTAGTCCTGGTTTAGACCTGGTTCAGTCCTGGTTTAGACCTGATTCAGTCCTGGTTTAGACCTGATTTAGTCCTGGTTTAGACCTGGATTCAGTCCTGGTTTAGACCTGATTCAGTCCTGGTTTAGACCTGATTTAGTCCTGGTTTAGTCTCGTTTTAGTCCTGGTTTAGACCTGATTTAGTCCTGGTTTAGACCTGATTTAGTCCTGGTTCAGTTCTGGTTTAGACCTGATTTAGTCCTGGTTTAGACCAAATTTAGTCCTGGTTTAGTCTCGTTTTAGTCCTGGTTTAGACCTGATTCAGTCCTGGTTTAGACCTGATTTAGTCCTGGTTTAGCCCCAAAACTGAAAAAATACATCATTATCCGTTTTTCATCTTATTTTTGATTTTATTTGTGAAAAAACAAACAGACAAACGGACGACACCTGGACTTTTCTCTCCGCGCTCGACTTCGTCCATTGTTCTTGACTTGACATTACCGAAACGCGCCGGGACTTGAGGGAGCCGGGGAGATCGGCGTTACAAAATTAGAAATTGGAGCACATCAAACCGCGCAACAAATCCCAGTTCGGTTGTCGGGGACCGCGCAGAAGTCACGGTATCCATCACGGCGAGGCGCGGGGCCCGGGGGAGGGGGCCCAGGTAGCTGCCGGAAACATGTGCATGTAATTAGGTCGACAGAGAAGGAGGACGGGAGCCTGCACCTTAAAGCGCCCAGGAATTTGTGATTCGTTTTTTCCTCCCGCAAGGTGACCCCAATAGCTCAAGCCCTCGGTCTATTTCGGGGTTGGCGCTCCCCTCGGTCGCAGGCGCCGGGTCTCTGCTCCGGTTGGCGGCGGGAAGCTTCGCCTACTTACAGACTCGAGGTTTTTTTTTTTTTTATTCAGGCGTTTATTTAAAAGCGAGAGTTTTACGAGCGGATTTACAAGGTTAAACTGTTGGATTAAAGGTGTTTTGTGAATCAGGACTAAAACGGGACTAAAACAGGACTAAAACAGGTCTAAATCAGGACTGAACCAGGACTGAATCAGGACTAAAACAAGACTTAACCAGGACTGAACAATGACTAAACCAGGTCTAAAACAGTTGTAAACCAGGACTAAGCCAGGTCTAAAACAGGACTAAACCTGGACTAAACCAGGACTAAATCAGGACTAAATCATGACTAAACCAGGACTGAACCAGGACTGAACCAGGTCTGAACCAGGACTGAACCAGGACTGAACCAGGTCTGAACCAGGACTAAACCAGGACTGAATCAGGACTAAAACAGGACCAAACCAGGTGTAAAACGGGACTAAACCTGAACTAAATCAGGTCTAAAACAGGACTAAACCAGGACTGAACCAGGACTAAACCTGGTCTAAAACAGGACTAAACCAGGTCTAAACCAGGTCTAATCCAGGACTAAACCAGGACTAAAACAGGACTAAAACAGGTCTAAACCAGGTCTAAAACAGGACTAAACCAGGGTTAAACAGGTTTAAACCAGAACTGAACCAGGACTAAACCAGGTCTAAGCCAGGACTAATCTTGGACTAGAACTTGGAATCTAGTTCCACCCCTGACAGAACCCAGAGTCTGTGGAACAGTGCGTCTGCGCGGCGCGATCGGGCGTCGGCTGCGGTTCGTCCCGTGGAGAGCGGAGTTCTGCGGGCGTTGTTTCTACACTGGCGCGTCTCTGGCGATTTTAGCGAATTTGTATGTAGTAAAACGAAAAACCCACCACTTCAACCCAGGTTAAAAAATCATTGTGACCCTTTTTACGTTTTATCCACACTGGGGCGAGACAAATTCGGCTCAAAAACCTGATAAAAACTCAACTGGAATCCATTTTCCCGAACAAGACACAGTATGAAGATGTCGAATTTTTCCGTTTTCTGAGACATTTTTTCTTTTATCTGCATGTTTACCTTATACTCTGTCAGATCTGAGATACAAACTTCTCTATTTGTCCATCCCCTGCTAAAACTCAAAAGTGGCGTTTGTAAAAGTGTGAGCTGGAGAAAGGTAAGTCTGGACCTTCTTTAGACGCCTTTAAATAAATAAATACTGTAGTTTTCCAAGACCCATTCTGTGTTTCTCAGGTACGGCTCACTCCTAAATATCTCTTATTTTTGTAGTATTAAAAGTTTGAGATGAATATTTTTGTAGTACCTGCGAAACACACTTATAGACTCTCTTAGTTAGTCAGAAATAAAGTAAACGTTCCTGACCCTGGCCCACATAACGATCTAAAGATAAAGTGATATTTTGGCCCAAACGTTGAGTATAAATAAGGGAGCTCAGGTGTGTGTGTGTTGTTTTTTTTTTCCGCCGGGCCGTGGTGCTGGTGTTACCAAACGTGCTCCGTGTCCCTTTGTCCAGGTGGAAGTGAAAAAAGCCGAACCTCGTGACAGTAAAGCTCCGGGGCAGCTGGGGCCGGGCCAGTGGGCTCCCAGGGGCATCCTGACCGCGGCCAACGGGTGGACGGCGCAACCTGCCCAGGGCTGGACGCAGGCGTACGGCCCGCAGGGTGAGTGGGCGGAGGGACGCGCGCTCACACCGCGGCCGGCCTACTTTAGGTGGCCGCCGGCGTCGCAGCTCGCCTCCTGTGTGTACAAGATCACTGCTGGACGTTATTTACGCTGTCACAGAGCCAGGACTCACTACTCCAGCGGTCCACTCACACGGACCAGGGTCATGAGTTTTATTTTCTGATTTTTATTCTACAACCTTTAAGAAACGACCTGCTGCAGTAACAGTACACGATGATTTATTATAACAACATTCGTTCATTCGTATTAAATAAGAAAACGAAAAACAACAATTTTCTTTATTTTCAATTTTGTGTTTAAATGAATAATGGAAAAAGAAAAAAAACAGACCGTTTCTCGTTTACGTGACTTAAACTGAGATTCTGGACCGAACCAGGATTAAAACAGGTCCGGGACCAGACCAGAACCTGACTGGGACTGAGGCCAGGACTAAGACTGGGAACAGGACCAAGACTGAGACCTGGACCAGACTGGAACCAGACCGTGATTGAGACCGGGAACAGAGACCGGGAACAGAGACCGGGACAGAGACCGGGACAGAGACCGGGACAGAGACCGGGAACAGAGACCGGGACAGAGACCGGGACAGAGACCGGGACAGAGACCGGGACAGAGACCGGGACAGAGACCGGGACAGAGACCGGGAAAAGGACCAGGACTGAGACCTGGACCAGACTGCAACCAGGCCGTGATTGAGACCGGGAACAGGACCAGGACTGAGTCTGGGACAGAGACCAGGACTGAGACCTGGACCAGACTGCAACCAGACCGTGATTGAGACCGGGAACAGGACCGGGACTGAGACCGGGACTGAGACCGGGACTGAGACCGGGACTGAGACCGGACTGAGACCGGGACTGAGACCAGGAACAGGACCAGGACTGAGACTGGGACTGAACCTAGGACCAGACCAGGACCAGACTGTGATTGAGACCAGGACTGAAACCGGGACCAGACCAGGACTGAAAACGGTTTAGTCCTGTTTTAGTCCTGTTTAGTCCTGTTTTTAGTCCTGTTTTAGTCCTGTTTTAGTCCTGTTTTAGCCCTGGTTTAGTCCTGTTTTAGTCCAGGTTTAGTCCTATTATCAGTTTTTTCCATTATTCATTTAAACATAAAACCGAAAAAACAAAATAACAATAATTTTATTTTCTCATTTTTACTTTTATTTAGAAAAACAAATGAACAAACAACACACAGACTCTTGTCCACCTCAAACACTAACCCTCCTTTTGTTTTGTGTTTTTTCTTTAAAGGAGTGTGGGTATCGACCGGCCAGCCCATCGGTGAGTGTTTTTTGTTTTTTTTCCCCTCGGCCCACGCTGCTGCGGCTCGAGTCGTGTAACGATCCCCGACTCGGTGTCCGCGTGCACTTTCGCTGAAGCGCGTATCGACGTGCGAGTGTTTATCGGGGCCGGGCCGTGTCAGAGCGGCTCACGCGGCGCGGCCCGCGGTCCGTTAGGCCGTTATCGCTGAGGCTGCTGCTGATAATGTGCTTCAGAGACAGATGGAACCTCCCCCCGCCACCGGTCAGGCTCCGCTTCCTATCAGCAGCTCCAGGTCGACTCGCAGCAGCCGCACTGACACTGCAGCGTCAGCCACAAACACCACGACGCACTTCACTCCTGCCCCGGACTCTCACTCCACACACGTCTACGGTTTTATTTGAGTCGTTTTTCAGAATAAAAACTATTTTCTTCATTATTTGGCTCCAAAACCAAAATGAAAAAACTGAAAATGATTAATTTTCCCGTTTCTGTGACTTAAACTGTGATGCTGGACTGAACCAGAACTAAACCAGGACTAAACCAGGACTGAACCAGGACTAAACCAGGACTGAACCAGGACTAAACCAGGTCTGAACCAGGACTGAACCAGGACTAAACCAGGACTGAACCAGGACTGAACCAGGACTAAACCAGGACTGAACCAGGTCTAAACCAGGACTGAACCAGGTCTAAACCAGGACTAAACCAGGACTAAACCAGGACTAAACCAGGTCTGAACCAGGACTGAACCAGGACTAAACCAGGTCTGAACCAGGACTGAACCAGGACTAAATCAGGTCTAAACCAGGACTAAACCAGGTCTGAACCAGGACTGAACCAGAACTAAACCAGGTCTGAACCAGGACTAAACCAGGACTGAAACCAGGTCTAAACCAGGTCTAAACCAGGACTGAACCAGGACTAAACCAGGACTGAACCAGGTCTGAACCAGGACTGAACCAGGACTAAACCAGGTCTAAACCAGGACTAAACCAGGTCTGAACCAGGACTGAAACCAGGACTAAACCAGGTCTAAACCAGGACTGAACCAGGTGGAAACCAGGACTAAACCAGGACTAACCAGGACTAAACCAGGACTAAACCAGGTCTAAACCAGGACTAAACCAGGACTGAAACCAGGACTGAACCAGGTAAACCAGGACTAAACCAGGTCTAAACCAGGTCTAAACCAGGACTGAACCAGGTCTAAACCAGGACTAAACCAGGACTAAATCAGGACTGAACCAGGACTGAACGGGGTCTAAACCAGGACTGAACCAGGAGTGTCGAAACGGGCCTAGAGTTATGCCTGAGACTGGGACCAGACCGGGGCAAGATTAGGACTGAGACTAGAACTGAGACAGGGCCTGAGACTGTTTAGTCCTGGTTAGTCCTGGTTTAGTCCTGGTTCAGTCCTGGTTTAGTCCTGGTTTCAGTCCTGGTTTAGTCCTGGTTCAGTCTGTTATCCTATCAGCAGCTCCAGGTCGACTCGCAGCAGCCGCACTGACACTGCAGCGTCAGCCACAAACACCACGACGCACTTCACTCCTGCCCCGGACTCTCACTCCACACATCTACTGTTTCTACAGATTCTCGGTCGACTAAAGACATGTTCTGTAAAACGATTAGTCGTTTTTCAAAATAAAACCAAAAATAAGAAACAAAAATCAACAATTTTCTTCATTATTTGTCTCCAAACCCAAAATGAAAAAAAAAACAGATAATGATTCATTTTTTCAGTTTCTGTGACTTAAACTGTGATGCTGGACTGAACCAGGACTAAAACAGGTCTAAACCAGGTCTAAACCAGGACTAAAAAAGGACTATAACAGGTCTAAACCAGGACTGAACCAGGACTGAACAGGACTGAAGCAGGTCTAAAACAGGTCTAAACCAGGACTGAAAGGTCTAAACAGGTCTAAAACCAGGACTGAACCAGGTCTAAAACAGGTCTAAACCAGGACTAAAACTAAAACAGGTCTAAACCAGGACTGAACCAGGACTGAACCAGGGCTGAAGCAGGACTAAACCAGGACTGACCCAGGACTAAAACAGGTCTAAACCAGGTCTAAACCAGGACTAAAAAAGGACTATAACAGGTCTAAACCAGGACTGAACCAGGACTGAACCAGGACTGAACCAGGACTAAACCAGGACTGACCCAGGACTAACCCAGGACTGATCCAGGTCCAAACCAGGATTATAACCAGAACTGGGCCAGGACTAAACCAAAACTGAACCAGGATTGTCGGGACAGGCCCGGAGTAGACTGTAGACTGTTGGGTGGTCAGGACTGAGACCAGGACCATGACCAGGACTGAGACTTGGACTGAGACTGGGACCAGACCGTAGCCCTGTTACATATGTCATGACAAAAACAGCAGCGATTGGTTAAATAAAAAAGTACCTTCCTACTGTCGAGCGAACGAAATCTAATGCTGCGAGGTCAGACGGTTTCCACAAAGTGAAACCATTCGATGACATCATGGGACCAAAAATAAAACTGCTAATATTTTAAGAACCATAATCGCACAAACAAAACTTTTTGCCGCTCAAAGCACAAATGATTGACACCATTTTGGGTCGTTTTAGAGCATTTTGGAGCTTCTTAGTGGGCTGGTTGACTCCAATTTGACCTGTAAAAAATCATTAATTTGTCAAAAACTAAAGCAGCACAAATGAAACTTTTTGCAGCTCAAACGAAGCACAAATGAATGACACAATTTTGGGACGTTTTAAAGCATTTTAGAGCTTCTTAGTGGGCTGGTTGACTCCAAGTTTGACCTATAAAAGAGTCGTTAATATCTAAAAACTAAAACGAACAAACGAAACTTTTTGCAGCTCAAACGAAGCACAAACGAATGACAGAATTTTGGGTCGTTTTAGAGCGTTTTGAAGCTTCCTGGGAGCTGGTTGACTCCAATTTGACCTGTAAAAAATCGTTAACTTGTCAAAAACTAAAGCAGCGCAAACAAAGCTTTTTGCAGCTCAAACGAAGCACAAACGATTGACAGTTTTTGTGCAGGTTTGCGTTTGATGAGGGGCCAACTTCACGGAGGCACTGAGCCGCAAACCACACGAACTAATAATCGTGCATCGACTGTACGAGAGTCTGTTTCGCACCAACACTTAATGAAGCGAGAGGCCGGGGCTGTGGTTACTCATTCAAGGTTGAAGAATTGATTTGTCGTAGAGTTGGTGTTTAACAGAGAGGATCATTATCGTTATACACCAGCGGGCTTAAAGTGCGTGTGCTTTCCGGCAGGTGGCTACGCTCCGGCGCTGACGGCCGCCCGAGGGACCCCCACGCAGCCCCCTTCGCCTTTCAATGCCTTCCTGGTGACCACTCCAGCGGCCAGCTTCGCACCTCAGGGCTATCCTCAGCAGGGCTACAGCACAGCACCACAGTTCGGTCAGTAATACTTTCTTCTGTGTACTTTTCAGAGGTCAGTACACGATTACATCTGCACTGTTGTATCTGTGTGAACGTGTTCTGCTGTACGTGTGGTCAGGGAGGGTCCACCGTCTTATCTCTGAGGGACAGAACTCACTCTGTCACAGGACCAACGCACTATTGTGAAGAGCTCTTTCACTCAACGCTGGCTTCATTACAGTCAGTATCGTTCTGTTTACATGAGGTCAAAAGTGGTTTTAGAATAGTCATGAGCTACAGAACGAGGATGTAGCTATTAGGGATGGGCATGATTAGTCGATTAATCGATAATTGATCATTAAGAATTTCATCGATTACGTTCATTTTAATCGACAAACTGAATGTATGTTGCTGTGTGTCGTGACCAAACAGGTGTGTACATGTGTCTCTGCATCAGAAGGAGCGAGACACAAACAGTGGGTCAGTCTGTAACGAACCGAAGCACAAATGTGGATTTAACGATGATTTTGTACAAGAAATTCCACACTTTCCGTTGCGTTGGGACAAGTGTGAGTCCATGTGCACAGTGTATAAAGCAGCACATATGTTTCTGTGTCCAGTGGGAAAAAGTTTTACCAGGTGAGAGTCGCTCAATGTGGATGACGAGGCCCCGCCCCCCTCCCCCCGTACGCTGTCCTGGTTTTGACCAACGCAAATCTGGTCACACTGACCTGTATTCACCTGAGTCATGTCTTTTAATCCAACACAAGTTGAACCACATCAGCGACACAAGAGCTGTAGTTTTATCTTTGCTTAGTTTATGCAAATTAGTGATGTGGTTTTAAGTTTTGTTTCTGTGAGATTTGAACAAAACTGAATTAAACACATTATAATGTCAAACGGGCTGATGTGGCTCTAGAGTCGTTATGGTTTATATGTCGTAAAGTTGAATTTATTTATGCAGATTAGTGCAGATAGTAATAATAATGATGATCATTTTAATATAAAAACGTTAATGATTAATCGATAATCGATCGTTAATTCTTCCGACGATCGATTAAGAAAATTTCATCGAATGCCCATCTCTAGTAGCTATATAACGCCTGAATTTATACAGCCATCTCCGCTCAATTTCATTTCTCTCCAGCGAACAGGTCAGGAATCAAAATACATTAGAACCTCAGAAGTTGTAGATGCGCACATGGACCAATCAGAGAAGAGCTGTGGAACCATGACGTCAAACTCGTGCGTCTGTCTGGGTCCCTTTTGTGGAACAGCACAACAGTGAACAAAGTGTTGAGATGGATGTAGATGATATAAAGTTGAATGAAGGAAGCAGCAGTGTCACTGTAGCTGCTGTGGTGTAAGAGGAAAGGCATGGGGAATTGAAAATGCCATACAGTAAGGCTCTTTTTACACTTATGTCACAAACCAGGAAAACGTCTGGAAACACGCAATGACAATTTCTGGTGTACCATATTTCTCAGACCATAAGTTGCTCCGGAGTATAAATCGCACCTGCCAAAAATTGCGTAATGAAGTAAAAAAACATAAATAAGTCACTCTTTTTGGGGGAAATTTATCTTATAAGGTCAGAGACCAGGAGCAGACATTTCCTGTGTAAAGTGAAGTTGTAGTAAAAACAATAGAAGAGAGAACAACAGACTGTTAACGTCACATATGAACAGTTCTTCAGATAAACTATAACATAAACAACAGAACAGAACAAGTTTAACAAACTCTCCATCTCACTCCAAATCACTAAATCCATTCAATTCTTCATCCTCGGTGTCACTTCTGAACAACTCGGCCTCGACCTCCGGAGGTAAACAGAGCGCCGCTTCCTCTTCTGTGTCGCTGTCGTCAGACTCAGCATCAGTTCCAGTTAGAATTATTCGAGTCTTTCTGAAGTCCAGGCTTTGTCCATCCATCCAGTGACTTCAGGAAAGTTTCATGGTGCATCCTCCCAGTGGTCAAACTTTCTTTCTGCTGCTCGATTTCCATTTTCAGCCGCAGATTTCACGACTTGCAGTTTGTAATCTGCAGAATCTGATTTTGTTTTCGGGTGCATTTGTGTTCAGTCTTCTCAGTCTTTGTCTTTATAAGTTTGTTTATTAAATGTTAATTTGTTCAGTGGTGCAGAAGTAACGATGCGATCGACTGACACGATACAGACGGGACAGAGGCTCTTTCTGCAGGAGACATGCGCAGTAGAGCCGAGTGACAGTGGTACAGGAGGAACAGGAGCAGCAGATACTCACACACAAGACTAGAACCTCTTTTTTTCACTGAAAATAACAAACATGAAATATTTTAATATATAAATCGCACCTGAGTATCAGTCATATATTATGTTGTAGCCTGTTCTCTGTTCTATTGTTATTACTATAACTTGATGAAATGTCTGTTCTTGGTTTCTGATTTTATAAAATAAATTTCCCCCCCAAAAATGCAACTTAAAATACATTAAAATGATTGCAGTAAATACGTTTCTCCCAATAGGAAACTGCTTCTTGTGTTGCTGCATTCCACTCGACCGTGTGAATAAATAAACGTGTCGTGTGTTTTCAGCAGGTTACAGTTTTGCCACAGCTCAGGCCGAGCAGTTCGCCGCACAGGTCCCCCCTCCACCCACCACTCCCGGGACCGCTCCTCTGGGCTTTGCTCCGGCCACCACCCCAACTCAGGACCTCAGCAAGGCTCCGACCGGCCAGCCCGACTTCCCCTACAGCCAGTACGGTAAGAGAGCCCCCCCGCTCCGGCCCTCAGACCCCTTTTTTTTTTCTTTGGTTCCACGAAGCTCCATGCACACAGCCCCCGAGCAGCCATCTCCACCCGCATCCAGAGGCCAGCGAGCCGCGGCTGTGAAGCTCCGACGTTCGCTCGCTGCGTTCGCACCCGCAGAGAAACGTGAGCGCACCGAACAACCTCACGCCAACGGTCCAAAGCCCCAGAACCTGTCCCCAGCGGCTCAAACTGATACTTTCTACGTGTTTATTAGAAATGCACTTTTACGATTTTGGATTTTGGCGCAGATATTTACAATTTTCATCGACTGGACAAAGTTTCCACGACGTTTTTTGTCCATTTTGGTCTTTTCTTTGGCGTAAAAATACAACGTTGGCCCAAAACGCCTTGTAATATTTTCATGTTTTTTCTGTACTTACTAATAGGCGAGTTTCAGCTGACGTCATTGTTATTAAAAGCCCGCGTTGCTGCTGGGAAATATTTTGGTCGGAGGCAAGAAACACGGTAGCGTCAAACACAGTGCGTAACCTCGCGTATTTATCCCCCGATAATGGTAAATTCCTGCTGCATTATCGGATGCACAAATAGAAGCACGGAAGAAGGAAAATGTCTTTTTCGTATTCAGAGTGAAAAGAACCACTAACGGTGAATTAAACGACTTTCAAACATTCACAGAGCAAACGTAGAAGATCCTAACAAACCGTGGACTCCAACAAGTTCAACAACACATCGAGACTCTTGGAGGTTTTCATCTTTTCTGCTGTGAACGGCCCAGGAGTTTCCACCAAGTCATTGTGGATGTCGCCCAAGTGAATATTTGTCCAGGTAGTTGGCGATTCTGACCAGAAATTTGGTTTGGTCCACCTTTTGTCGGGGTTGAAAAGGGTGATTTGGCTCCATCGATGTTTATGACCAATATCTTGGTTTCACGTGACGTCACAGGGCTACGTTTGTCAGCGCGCAAAATCAGATGGAGGGCAGGAAGTGAACCGACTGGAGGAAAATGCCGATGTGCTGTGTAGTTTACGTCTGTGCCAATCGTTCTAACCGAGAGAAGGAAAAGCGATTTTTTTTTAGAGGACCGAATATAGTCGTCCACAAAGGTCAGAAATGGGAAAAGCCGACAGAACAACGCCGTGAAAAGTGGATCACAAACCTGTTTGCGGTCGGGAGGAGCAGAATTCGCTAATGCTCGTGTCTGCAGTGACCAGTTTGACAAAGGTTTGTTACAAAGATAAATTGTTTTTTGTGGTTTACCTAAACATAAACGAATCATTAACGACTAACGGCTAATGACGTTTGTTGACATTAAATAGTTCAGGTAGAGGTCAGTCTAAACACAGTGTTGGGAAGGTGACTTTTAAAATGTAATCCCCTACAGATTACAGATTACATCCTCAAAATGTAGTTTGTAACGTAATCCATTAAATTAAATTAATTAAGTGAGTAATGTAATCTGAATACTTTGGATTACTTGATTTGCTGTAGAGAAGCAAAGACGAGGAAATTGTAACATAAGAAGTTTTGTCTGATAAAAGAAAATAAAAAGTCCAGACTTTACTGAACCAAATTAAAAATATTATTGATAGAAGAAGAGGAAACACGTCCACACAGCAGGATTTAGTCCTGTTAAATCCTGTTTGGGACATAGTTTAGACCTGGTTTAGTCCTGGTTTAGACCTGGTTTAGACCTGGGTTTAGACCTGGGTTTAGACCTGGGTTTAGACCTGGTTTTAGACCTGGTTTAGACCTGGTTTAGACCTGGTTTAGACGTGGTTTAGACCTGGTTTAGACCTGGTTTGGACCTGGTTTGGACCTGGGTTTAGACCTGGGTTTAGACCTGGTTTAGTCCTGGTTTAATCTTGGTTTAGACCTAGTTTAGACCTAGTTTAGACCTAGTTTAGACCTGGGTTTAGACCTGGTTTAGACCTGGTTTAGTCCTGGTTTAATCTTGGTTTAGACCTAGTTTAGACCTAGTTTAGACCTGGGTTTAGACCTGGTTTAGACCTGGTTTAGACGTGGTTTAGACCTGGGTTTAGAGCTGGTTTTAGACCTGGGTTTAGACCTGGGTTTAGACCTGGTTTAGACCTGGGTTTAGACCTGGTTTAGACCTGGTTTAGACTGGTTTAAGACCTGGTTTAGACCTGTTTAGACCTTTTTAGACCTAGTTTAGACCTAGTTTAGACCTGGGTTTAGACCTGGGTTTAGTGTCCGGCAATGAGTGGAATTACTAAAAAAAAGGAAAAAAAGTGAAACGTGAAAAAAAAAAGTGAAAACAGTAAAATCCCTCTGTGTAATCCATTTATTTCAACAAAGTAACTGTAATCCAATTACCACTCACTGAGACAGTAACTGTAACTGAATACAGTTACTCATAATTTGTACTCTGATTACATAACTCCGGTACATGTAATCTGTTACTCCCCAACACTGTCTATACACATAAAATAAGAGAAACACTCACCCCGGCGAAGACCAAACGATAATCATCATTTAGTCGTTTTGCACCGAGGTTGAGGATTCATCCACTGACAAAAAAAGTTCTATGCCTCCAAACTTTTGTACTTTGCCTTCATCTGTTGTCTGGTGTAGAACGACGTCCGAAGAGCTAAATAGTTCGTGATCTCCTCTGCCTCGATTGTCGGCAAATCTTTTACTTCGGTTGAAAATTCTCTCATTTTCAATAAGATCAGGGTCCCAATATATTTGTCGACTAACTGCTCGTACTTTTGCCTCGCTCCTGGCTCTAAATCCTGACAATAAGAACTCTTCTCCGTATCTGTGTTCTCCAGAGCCGTGTTTGTTTGTCGTGTTTGTCTTCACTTCCTGCCCTCCGCCTGAAATTCGCGCAGCATCGTGATCACGTGACTGAAACCCTCCGATTTCTGGTCAAATGGTCTTGGGTCCTCTGCCGTTAGAGTGGATAAATAACCGGGATCAATGCCCTTTACGTGTTTTCTCGCTCCGTCCGTCATGTTGAATTAGTGTTTCTTGCCGCCGACCAAAATAATTCCCAGCATGCAACGCGCGCTTTTGTCAACAATGAAACTCGCCTATAAATGTTTACAAAATTTAGTTAAAAGTTTCCCGCGTAACTTTTCCAGTCAAGGATCCGCCACCTGCTTTTTTGTTTTCATGAGAATGTTTTTTGCTTTGTCTACAATGTTCCAAAACCTTAATCCGTCTCAAGGAGGACAGCTCCAGGCTACATTACCAGTAAGATCTGTGGAGAGGCGGCCCTATTCACGTCGGGCCTCGTTCATGAATCTTTTCTTGAAAAAAAGAATATGTTTGAGAAAATATATAAGTGATAATATTCTAAAACAGTAGATTCTTTTTTCTCACGAGTGCTCCTGACTGTTCGTAGGATTTTCATTTTCAGTTAAGAAAAAGTTTGGTGAATGTTTGTGAGAATTACAAATTTGTTCATAAGAATGTTTCAAGAATGAGGCCCGTTGTATTTTTGAGCAACAGAATGGAAGAGAATAATCCGTGTTTCGTTCGTTCATTTGTTTTTCAATATAAAACTAAAAATAAGAAAATGAAAAAAACAACAATTTTCTTCGTTATTTGTCTCCAAAACCAAAATAAAAAAACAGATAGTGATTTGTTTTTTTCAGTTTTCGTTTTTTGTGTTTAAATGAAAAATGGAAAAAAATGGATGACTGTTTCTCATTTTTGTGACTTAAACTGCGATTCCGGACTAAACCAGGACTGAACCAGGACTAAACCAGGTCCAGGACCAGACCAGACCAGGACTGAGAACCAGGACTTAGACTGGGATCAGACCAGGACTGTGTATGGGACCAGGACCAAGACTGAGACCGGGACTGAGACCGGGACTGAGACCGGGACTGAGACCGGGACTGAGACCGGGACTGAGACCGGGACTGAGATTGGGACCAGACTGTTACTGAGACTGGGACCAGACTGGGACCAGACTGGGATAGAGAACCAGGACTTAGACTGGGACCAGACCAGGACTGAGACTGGGACTGAGACAGGAACCAGATCGGGACCAGACTAGGACTGAGACCGGGACATAGATCAGAACCAGACCAGGACCAGACCATGACTGAGACTGGGACCAGACCAGAATTGAGACCGTGACTGAGACCGTGACTGAGACCGTGACTGAGACCGTGACTGAGACCGTGACTGAGACGTGACTGAGACCGTGACTGAGACCGTGACTGAGACCGTGACTGAGACCGGCACTGAGACCGGCACTGAGACCAGGTCAAACCAGGACCAGACCAGGACTGAGACTGGGACCAACCCAGGACTGAAAACGGTTTAGTCCTGGTTCAGTCCTGGTTTAGTCCTGGTTCAGTCCGGCATCACAGTTTAAGTCACGTAAACGCCCGTTATCTGTTATTTTTTTCCATTTTTCATTTAAACACAAAACTGAAAACTGAAAAATCGAATCATTATCTGTTTTTTTCATTTTGGTTTTGGACAGAAATAACGAAGAAAATAGTTATTTTTTCATTTTCTTATTTTTGGTTTTACTTTGAAAAACAAATGAACGAACGACACACGGATTTAGAACCTGTAATAAATAAAAAAACACTAAATCTATGTTTTTAACGTCAACTATGGAACATTCTAGACAAATCAAACTCAACGAAATTAAATAAATAAATTATAATTTCAGTTTCTCTGGCGAAAAGCGTCAGATTTAAGCAGAAAACAGTGAAATAAAAACCTCCAGATTACAGTTTAAGACCGTAAAACGAGGAGAGAGGCGACGCTTTTTCAACAGAAAGCGAATTAGACCCAGAGCCGGTGGAGCCGCACTTCCGTCCGGTCAGGTTTTGGGGGCGAAGACCGTGGTGTTTTTCGTGAGCGTGTTTTGTTTGTTTTTTTTCTCTGTGCGTGCGGACGGAGCGAGCGTGACCCCGCCGCTGGCTCAGGCTCGGTGGACTTTGGGGTTTCTGTTTTTTTTGTTTTGTTTAGTTTTGGGTTTTTTTGGGCCGGCCGCTCACCCT